CATTAAAAGGATCATCCACCACGACCAAGTGGGATTTATCCCTGGGATGCAAGGGTGGTTCAACATTCGCAAATCAATCAATGTAATAGAACACATTAATAAGAGGAGGGAGAAGAACCATATGGTCCTCTCAATTGATGCAGAAAAAGCATTTGACAAAATACAACATCCTTTCCTGATTAAAACTCTTCAGAGTATAGGGATAGAGGGAACATTCCTCAAGTTCATAAAATCCATCTATGAAAAACCTCAGCGAATATCATCCTCAGTGGGGAAAAGCTGAGAGCCTTTCCCTTAAGATTAGGAACACGTCAAGGATGCCCACTCTCGCCGCTATTGTTCAACATAGTACTAGAAGTCCTAGCAACAGCAATCAGACAACAAAAAGAAATAAAAGGTATTCACATTGGCAAAGAAGAAGTCAAACTCTCTCTTTTCACAGACGACATGATACCTATGTGGAAAACCCAAAAGACTCCACCCCCAAATTACTAGAACTCATCCAACAATTCAGTAATGTGGCAGGATACAAAATCAATGCACAGAAATCAGTTGCTTTCTTATACACTAACAACGCAACTGTAGAAAGAGAAATTAGAGAAACGATTCCATTTACAATAGCACCCAAAACCATAAGATACCTCGGAATAAACCTAACCAAAGAGGTAAAGGATCTGTACTCTAGGAACTACAGAACACTCATGAAAGAAATTGAAGAAGACACAAAAAGATGGAAAAATATTCCATGCTCATGGATCAGAAGAATAACATTGTTAAAATGTCTATGCTAAAAAAAAAAAAAAAATGTCTATGCTACCCAGAGCAATCTATACCTTCAATGCCATCCCGATCAAAATTCCAATGACATTTTTCAAAGTGCTGGAACAAACAATCCTAAAAATTGTATGGAATCAGAAAAGACCCCAAATCGCCAAGGAAATGTTGAAAAAGAAAAACAAAGCTGGGGGCATTACATTGCCCGGTTTCAAGCTATATTACAAAGCTGTGATCACCAAGACAGCATGGTCCTGGCACAGAAACAGACATATAGACCAATGGAACAGAGTAGAGAACCCAGATATGGACCCTCAACTCTATGGTCAAATAATCTTTGACAAATCAGGAAAAAACATGCAATGGAAAAAAGACAGTCTCTTCAATAAATGGTGCTGGGAAAATTGGACAGCCACATGCAGAAGAATGAAACTCAACCATTCTCTAACACCATTCACACAGATAAACTCAAAGTGGATGAAAGACTTCAATGTGAGACAGGAATCCATCAAAATCCTAGAGGAGAACATAGGCAGTAACCTCTTTGACATCGGCCACAGCAACTTCTTTCAAGATACATCTCCAAAAGCTAGTGAAACAAAAGCAAAAATGAACTTTTGGGACTTCATCGAGATAAAAAGCTTCTGCACAGCAAAGGAAAGAGTCAACAAACCAAAGAGGCAACCCACAGAACAGGAGAAGATATTTGCAAATGACACTACAGATAAAGGGCTGGTATCCAAGATCTATAAAGAACTTCTCAAACTCAACACCCAAAAAACAAATAATCAAGTCAAAAAGTGGGCAGAAGAGATGAACAGACACTTCTCTGAAGAAGACACAAATGGCTAATAGACACATGAAAAAATATTCATCATCATTAGCCATCAGGGAAATTCAAATCAAAACCACACTGAGATACCACCTTACACCAGTTAGAATGGCCAAAATGGACAGGGAAAGAAACAACAAATGTTGGAGAGGTTGTGGAGAAAGGGGAACCCTCTTACACTGTTGGTGGGAATGCAAGTTGGTACAGCCACTTTGGAAAACAGTGTGGAGGTGCCTCAAAAATTTAAAAATAGAGCTACCCTATGACCCAGCAATTGCACTCCTGGATATTTACCCCAAAGACACAGATGTAGTGAAAAGAAGGGCCATATGCACCCCAATGTTCATAGCAGCAATGTCCGCAATAGCCAAACTGTGGAAAGAGCTGAGATGCCCTTCAACAGATGAATGGATAAAGAAGATGTGGTCCATATATACAATGGAATATTACTCAGCCATCAGAAAAGATGAATACCCAACTTTTACATCAACATGGATGGGACTGGAAGAGATCTGTTAAGTGAAATAAGTCAGGCAGAGAAAGTCAATTACCATATGGTTTCACTTATTTGTGGAACATAAGGAAGAGCATGGAGGATATTAGGAGAAGGAAGGGAAAAATGAAGGGAGGGAAATCGGAGGGAGAGATGAACCATGAGAGACTATGGACTCTGAGAAACAAACAGGGTTTTAGAGGGAAGGAGGGAGGGGGGATTGGTTAGCCTGGTGATGGGTATTAAGGAGGGCACGTACTGCATGGAGCACTGGGTGTTATACAAAAACAATGGATCGTGGATCACCACATCAAAAACTAATGATGTATTGTATGGTGACTAACATAACATAATAAAATTTTTTAAAAAATCAAAAATGAGAAAACATTTCTCAATTCATTTTATGACCCTAGGATAGTTATTTTCATTTACCAAAGAAATGGTGAAAAATAAGCACATGAAAATTTGCTCAGCATTCATATGTCATTAGAGCAAATAAAAGCTCCAAAAAACTTACACAACAGCAAGAATTGTTATATACATTTTTTTTCCTGACAATACCAAGTACTGCCAAGACTTTACAGTACTAGAACTCTAATTCACTGCTAGTGGGAATGTAAAGTCATGTAACCACTTTGGAAATAATTTTAGTTTCTTAAAAGTTGACTATCATACATACCATATGACTCAGCCATCCCCTTCCCAGATATTTACTCAAGAGAAATTACAACTTATGTTTACATAAAAACTCTGTGTGAATGTTTACAGAGACTTTATTCAAAACTGCCAAGAACTGGCAACATCTCAAATGTTCTTCATCCCGTATGAATAAACAAACTTGTGGCATACCCATATGATTGAATACTATTCTGCAATAAAAATGAATGGGCAAACTGACATTTGCAATAACGTGTGTTTACTTCAAATCTGTTATGCTAAGTGAAAGGAGACTATAGCTTGTATGATTCCATGAAAATTACTACATGAGGGGCGCCGGGGTGGCTCAGTTGGTTAAGCGACTGCCTTCGGCTCAGGTCATGATCCCGGAGTCCCGGGATCGAGTCCCGCATCGGGCTCCCTGCTCAGCAGGGAGTCTGCTTCTCCCTCTGACCCTCCTCCCTCTCATGCTCTCTGTCTCTCATTCTCTCTCTGGCAAATAAATAAAATCTTAAAAAAAAAAAAAAAGAAAATTACTACATGAAAAAGGAGGAATCCATTTAAAGGATTTAACAACAGACTACATAAAGCAAAGAAAGGATCAGTGAATTCGAAGACAGGCCAACTGATACTATATGTAGAAGGAAGAAGAGGAAGAGAAGAAGGAAAACAAAAAGAAATAATAAAAAAAAAAAAAATGAGCAGAACATCCAAAATCTAGAGGACAAAAATCAAATAGTCTGACATCCTTGGAACTGGAGTCCCAGGAAAAAATAAAGAAGAAATAAGGAAAGTAAAGGTTTGAGGTTATGTTGGCTGAGAATTCTTCAAATGGGTAAAAGAAATTAATCCACAGATAGAAGGAGTTCAGCTAATTCCAAGTAAAATAAAAAATAACCAAAAAAATCACCTAGGAATGTCATATTCAAATTTATAAAATTAAAGACCAAGGAGAAATATTAAAAATACCACAGGAGAAAAAAGACACAATACAAATAGTGGAACAGTAATAAGAGTAATAACAGGACAGAAACCATGGAAGTCAGATGACAAAGTGACAATATCTTGAAAATGCTGAAATTTTTTAAAAAGTCCTTTTAGTCACATATATACAAGAAAAATATCCTTCAAAAGTAAGATAGGATGTTTGTTGCTAGTATAATTTAGTAGCTTCTACTAGACTGGTCTCTCATGCAAATAAAACTATAAATTCTGGGCAACACACACAACGGCAACTAAAACAACCACCCACAATTACTGGAGCAGAACAAAAGTAGCAATATTCTGGAGACAGATGAGCACTTGCAAAAAGGAATGACACTGTGTGCATTCCCTGTTATCCCAGCTTTTAGCCAGAGGGTAAACCCTAGTGAATGTCTCAAGTCTTTCTAGCCTGAAACTAGAGGAACTAGAGGAAAAAGTCTGAGCAACAAGAGAGTTGAGAAGTGAAGGGGGATTTCGAAAAAAAAGAGCACAAAAGAGAAGTAGTTACAAATTTTGCATTTACGTTCTGCCCAAGCCTCTGGCCAATCCCTAATTCATGTACATGTGTGTGTCTGAGCTAAAAGGGGAAGGAACTGAGATTTAAACATGTCTCCCAAAAGATAAGAGTTTGCAGTTTCCTTCAAACCAAGTTCATTCTCTTCCAAAAAAAAAACAAGACTCTTTGGAAGAATATTTAAAAATCCATAATCTCCACAATATAACATTCACAATACTCGAGATGTGATCCAAAATTATGTGACGTGAGGAATCAAGAAAATGTGGTTCAACCTCAAGAGAAAAAACTATCAGTGGAAATGATCTCTGAGATGACAACGGTAGTATAATGACCCCACAGGGATTCTAAACCCACTACTATAATAATGCCTCATGAGAGATTTTAAAATGCTTACAATGAATGAAAAGATAGAAACTATCATCAGAGAAATAGAAACTACACAAAGAACCAAATAGAAATTTCTATGTTTAACAATTATAATATCTAAAATAAAAATTTCACTAGCCAGGCATAACAGTAGTGTGATGGTTAATATTATGTGCTAACCTGGGTGGACTACAGTGCCCAGATACTTGGTCAAAACATTATTCTAGATGTTTCTGCGAAGGTGTTTTTAGGATGAAAGTAACATATAAATCAGTGAGCTTGTAGAAAGCTGATTACCCTCCATAATGTGATTACCCTCCATAATGTGAACAGGCCTCATCCAATTAGCTGAAGGTCTTATTAAAACAAACACTGACCTTTCCCAGGCGAGAAGGATGGCATTGCTTAATGGCTTGCTTGATAGTCTTGCTTGATGGTCTTCAAACTTGAACTGCCACATTGGCTCTTCCCTGGGTGTCTAGCCTGCCGGCCCACTCAGCCACTTAGTAAATCTTGGACTTGCCAGCCTCCACAAGGTTGAGAACCAATTCCTTAAAACAAACAAACAAACATTGTACATACATACACACACATACTATTGGTTCTATTTACATAGAGAACCCTGATAAAAGTGGAATGGAGATGAAAAAGGAAAGAATCAATGAAATTGAAGATAGATTAATAGCATTATCCAATTTAAAGAACAAAAAAATTAAAGTTCGGGAAGGACAGTTTCTAGGACATGTGGAACAATGTCAAAAGGCCTAAAATATGGGTAATTGGAGTCTCAGAAGCTGAGGAAAGAGAATATGGGGCAGAAGAAAATAATCGAGGAAACAGTGAACTCATTTTTTACAAATTTGGTGAAGTACATAAATTTATAGAATTATGAAATGCAGCAAAACTCAAGCGCAGTATTAAGAAAACCATGCCTAAGTAAATCATAGTAAAATTGATGAAAACTAACGAGACAATTACAAAAGAATATAAAGACAAAAATTCACATTTGATATGGAGGAACTAAGTGACTTCATTCAAATATATAGGTATCAGAAGACAAAGGAACAGCATTTTAAGGTTCTGGAGAGGGGTGGGAAACTGCGAACCCTAATTCTATACTCAGGAAAGATATCCTTCAAGAATGAAAGGTAAATAAAGTCAGTTTCAGGAAAATAAAATAACATAAAATAAACCCAAAAGAACAGAGAGGAAGTATGTTAGACAGAAGGGAAATGAAAGTAGATGGAAACTCAGATATTCAAGAAGAAACGACTACCATTGGAAATGGTAAATATCTTGGCTTACATAAAAAGACAATGTTTTTTCTTTTAATTATTTAAGAAATGCAGAACTAGGGGCGCCTGGGTGGCTCAGTCATTAAGCGTCTGCCTTCGGCTCAGGTCGTGATCCCAGGACCCTGGGATCGAGCCCCACATCGGGCTCCCTGCTCTGCGGGGAAGCCTGCTTCTCCCTCTCCTACTCCCCCGCTTGTGTTCCCTCTCTCGCTATGTCTCTCTCTGTCAAATAAATAAGTAAAATCTTTAAAAAAAAAAAAAAAAAGAAATGCAGAACTGGTTAAAACAAAATTATAACATTGTCATGTGGCATTTAGTGCAAATGTAATACATACAAAATATATCAAAAACAGTCTAACTAGACTGTGAAAAGTTAATGCTGTATATTTTAAACCCTAGAGCCCTTAATAAACCACCAATAAATATGCAAAAGGTAAGGCCAAAAAGCCAATGGATACATTAAAATGAAATTTTAAAAAACCTTTATTCAAATAATCCAAAAAAAAAAAAAGGCAGGAAGGAGTAACAGAATTTAAAAAAAAATTGAAATAAGTAGAAGGTAAATAATACAATGGTAGGCTTACACCAAATGTTGATAATAGCATTAAATGTTAATGAATAAAACACTCTAAGCAGAAGGCAGAAAACTGTCAGAATGGATTAAAACAAAAGAAAATTTTACTCTTGAAAGCAAGATGTAAGACTCACGTCAGATATAAAGAGAGATAGCTTGAGGAATGCTTGGGTGGGTCAGTGGGTTCAGCGTCTGACTCTTGATTTCAGCTCAGGTCATGATCCTCAGGGTGGTGAGATCGAGCCCCGTGTCAGGCTCCTTTCTGGACGTGGAGTCCGCTTGAGACTCTCTCTCCCTGTCCTGCGGCCCCTCCTTACCTTCTCTCTCTCTCTCTAAAAAAAAAAAAAATAATAATAAATATAAATAATAAAAACAAATATAAAGAGAGATAGTTTGAAAGCGGAGGAATGGAAAAATATATACTTTGAATACAGTAAGCATAAGAAGACAAAGATGTCTGTACTTTTATGAAATAAAATAGATTTCAAAATAGAGTTATTACTGGACAAAAAGAGAAACACCTGGTAATGATAATAGAGTCAATTCTTCAGGTATTCATGATGACTACAAACATCTATGTGGCTAATGGAAGAGCTTCAAAACACATAAAGCAAAAACTTGCATAATTAAAAAGAGAAATAGAAGAAAATCCAAGGAATTTATAGAAAAAACTCCACAACTAATTAGTGAGTTTGTCAAGGTCACAGGATATGATACCAGCATTCAAAATCAGTTGTACTTCTGTGTATAAGTAATGAACACATGGAAACTTAAATTTAAAATGTCATTTGCAATCACTAAAGATATTATATACTTAGATGTAAGTCTAAAAAAATACGTACAGCATATGTATGCTGAAACCACACATTATAGTTTAAAAGAAACCAAAGAAGGGGCACCTGGGTGGCTCAGTCGGTTAAGTGTCTGCCTTCGGCTCAGGTTGTGATCCCACTGGGATTGAGCCCCACATCAGGCTCCCTACTCAGTGGGAGCTTCTCCCTCTCCCTCTGCCCCTCTCTCTTGCGTGCTCTCTCACTCGCTCTCGCTCTACCTCAAATAAACAAAATCTTAAAAAAAGAAAGAAAGAAAGAAACCAAAGATCTAAATAAATGGAGAGGTATATTTGAAAAGAGAGAGAAATAGATAATTTCATAATCACAGTTTAATAGCTAAATATTATATAAATATTAAATATTATACAAATATATTTATATATTATATACTATATTTATGTATATTGCATAATTTATATTATACTCTAATTATAATATATTGTATAAGCATACAAATATAATATTATTAAAATAATAACTAGATAAAAGTAATGTATTGCTCATATCATTGATGTAATTATTATTTGTAGAACATTACCACCAACAACAGGAGAATACATGTCCTTTTCAAATGTATATAAGATCATATACTGGGCCACAAAACAAGGCCCTACGTATTCAAAAGGACTGAAACCATATCAAGTATGTTTTCTGACCATAATGAAATTAAATTAGGATTCATTAATAAAACATCTTTAAAGAGTCCAAATACTTGGAAAGTAAACAGCACATATTTAAATAATGTTAGTCAAAAAAGATAGGATGGGGCTCCTGGGTGACTCAGTTGGTTAAGCATCTGCCTTCAGCTCAGGTCATGATCCCGGGGTCCTGGGATCAAGTGTCGCATCGGGCTCCCTGCTCCTCAGGGAGTCTGCTTCTCCCTCTCCCTCTGCCTGCCACTCCTCCTGCTTGTGCTTTCTCTCTCTCTGTCAAATAAATAAATAAAATCTTAAAAAAAAAAAGACAATGCAATAACAAAATATTTTAAACTCAATGATAATAAAAATGCAACATGTTAAAATTGGCATTCAGCTAAATCAGTGTTTAGAGGAAAACATACAGCTTTAATGTCTACAGATAGATCTAAAGAAAGATCTAAAAGAATGACTTAAGGTCCTACTTTAAGAAGTTAGAAACAAAAGCAAAGTAAATCCAGGTAAAAGGAGGATATAAATATGGATGAAAGCAACAAATCAATTAAATTTAGAACAAAAAAAATAGCAAACTAAGAAACCCCAAGTTCAGTTATTTGAAGGAAAAAATTCAACAAAATTGAGAAATACTTAGACTGATCATATTCAGAAAAGAATGAAGAAGAGCACAAATTAACAATATTGTGAGTGAAAGATGTTATATCTGTGCACCCTACAGATATGAAATGGATAATAAAATAATATTATGACAAACTGTATACCAACAAATTAAACATTTTGGGTGACACGGATGCATTTTTTTGAAAAAAATATAACTTACCAAAATGGCACAAGATGAAATAAAATCTGAATAGCACTTTATAAAGAAATTGGGTTTTTCTAATCAAAAAATACCAAATAATTTTACTGGTGAATTCTGTCAAACATTTAAGGAAGAAATAACACTAATTTTATACAAACTTTTAATGAAAAATACATGGAGACAAATACTTTCCAAATCACTTTACGCTGCCAGCATAATCCTAAAACCAAAACCTACAAGACATTACAAAAAAATAAAATTACAGATCAATATCCCTCAAGAACATTAAGGAAAAATGCTTCACAAAATACTGTATGAGTATGTTAACCGCAGCCATTATGTACCGTAATATAATGCAACCCTGACATCCCTCCCCAGGAACAGGCTGGAAGCATCAACGGTCTGAGATACCCTAACTCTGACAGCACTTGACACTCGGGTTAGAACGTGGACTTCCTCAGGGAAAAAGAAATTAGCCTAGTCCGTCTCTGGGGTCATCGGAAACCTATTTCCTTTTCATCCCTGTTCTCCCTTCCACAGGTTCAGCTTTACCCTAAGGCTGGTTCTCTTTGCTATCGCAAGATGCCTACCAACAGCAATACTTCCTCACATTTGCCAACAGAGGAGAACATCTCTTCCTGGGGTTCTTTGTGCGTGTTTTGTGGTGGTGGTGGTGGGTTTTCTGGGTTTTTTTGTTTTGTTTTGTTTTGCTTTGTTTTTTTCTGACCAAGGAAAATTCTAGTGGTGGGTTTTCTGGGTTGTTTTGTTTTGTTTTGTTTTGCTTTGTTTTTTTCTGACCAAGGAAAATTCTACCAAAAGCCCTTGGAAAATGTCCTCTTATTGCTTGAAAGTATGTTTCCTGCCCACTTAGGAACAAATTCTTGCTACCAGGGAATGCCAGACGGTGATTAGCTTAGGCCTGAGTCCTCACATCCTTCTTTGTCAGAAGACATAGCAATGGTGGGACTGACTGAACCTATTCAAGGGCTGAGACCCAGAGCCGAGAAGCTCCGTAACAGGGAAGGACTGGAAGAACAGCGGGAGAGACCAGTACTGAGCTCATACCACAGGAAGTGCCGTCAAGCATCGGCGGGGCTGGCTAGCCTTTTTTTTTTTTTTTTTGCCATTTTATTTATTTATTTATTTATTTATTTATTTATTTATTTATTTATTTATTTATTATTCTTATGTTAATCCCCATACATTACATCATTAGTTTTAGATGAAGTGTTCCATGATTCATTGTTTGTGCATAACACCCAGTGCTCCATGCAGAACGTGCCCTCCTCAATACCCACCACCAGGCTAACCCATCCTCCCACCCCCCTCCCCTCTAGAACCCTGTTTGTTTTTCAGAGTCCATCGTCTCTCATGGTTCGTCTCCCCCTCCGATTTCCCTCCCTTCATTCTTCCCCTCCTGCTTTCTTCTTCTTCTTCTTCTTTTTTTTTTTCTTAACATATATTGCATTATTTGTTTCAGAGGTACAGATCTGAGATTCAACAGTCTTGCACAATTCACAGCGCTGGCTAGCCTTTTGATGTGTCCCTTGCGTCTTATATTTTGGGTCCACTGGACTGTTCTGCCCTTCAGGGGAGGACACCGTGGCAAGAACATGGTGTTGGGAGGGTGAATAAATGAAGTCTGCTGGTTCAGAATCAAATGGAGTTCCACATCATGACCTTCTCAGGGAATCAAGATGCCTCAGAATCTGTCCGTCTCCCTGAGGGTCATGAAAGATCCCTGGGGCCTCCTGTGCCCTTGCTGCTCTTGGCTGAGGTCGGGAGGATCCAGGTGTTTCGACAGGGAGGGAGGGAGATTGCATGGCAGTGACTGACTCAGCCAAGTGACTTCTGAGAAAATGTACTCAGCTTTATACTCTCCAGGCTACAGAGCACTTTAAAAACTCTTGCCTCTGTGGTCCGATTAGATTGGGAAATACATTTTTGTTCCAGATATTTATTTAAAAGTTTCATTTTCACTTAATAAATCTATAGCCATGGCATACAGGGAAGGTTTCCCCAAGTGGTAATTTATGCTTATTGTAGAATTACTTTTGAAAGTGCATGGGCTGCTTGTCACTGAGGGAAATTGTGGCCACTCAGTTTTTAGACTTATTGGCTGTTACAGATCTGGGAGTTGATATATATTTGAAATGTTTATGCCTTCTCTTTCTTGTTAATTATCGATCTAAACCTTTATGGATTCCAAGACATTTGTGAACAAGGCTTTCATTAATCCCCAAGGCTGCTGAGGGGTCTGGGCAGTGGAATTCCCAATTTACAGATATGCAAAAAACTTGGGGACTCACAGGCTAATTCCCAGGGTCACACCGTGGGTCAGTGATGGCCCAGGTCACAGAGTTTGTAACAGGGGTACAAAACACCTGACTTGCTCACCAAAGATGACCCCTTAGCTGTACCTAGAATGCACAGTTGAGGTTGGCCCCAGACACAAATGGGTTGTGGACATAGCCCCTTGCAGCCCTCATGGGGCCTCCCTCTATATCAGGGACACCTACCCTGTGTCCTATTTGAGCCCCTCCCTGAGTATAATCTACCTCTGGTGGATATAGCCCCTTATTCTGAGACAGGCATAGAAGACTTCCAGACCACAAAACCTTCTGCTCCTCTTCCTTTTCCTCCTATCTCCCACCTACCTATCGCTCCAAGCCAATGGAGGGTCTTAAAAATAGAATCTGACTAGAATCTCTCATAACTTAGTCACAGGAGCCTGAGAGCACAGGGAGTCCAAGGCAAGGTGGTTTATTGATTCTCCTCATTGGTGGGAACCCGGTGCAGGGCCTCAGCACTGGCCATAAGCCCTGCCACAAGAGGACCCTTACCTCTCAGGCCCATAGAAGGAAGAAGGAATGGGAGAAAACACTTTATTTTCCCATTTCCTGTTCTTAAGGGACTTTCAAGGAGCCTTCAGCTCCTTGCCCGCTCCCAATAACTACCTAAGAGGATTACTCGCTAAAAAGAAAAATTAGAACTGTTTTTCTTTCTCTATACAAGATCACCTGCATCTGTCCAGCCTTCCAGAAATACTCTAGTCACTCTGAGTTCTGGCTTTGAGGCCTCCCTGGCACTTTTCTTACCTCCTTGTTTCCTTGGAGGTTGTGACCTTGAAAGAATGTACTACAGTTTGATGGGAATCATGGGAAAGCTGATTATCAGGTCCTGGAGGCCTTAGGTACAAAGGTTAAGAGCTGGATGTTACCCGATGGGCAGGAGGGAGCCTTTCTGAAATGCCTGCTTCACCCTTCAGGAGACCAGAGAGGACCCACCCTCCTTCCTCATGGGCCAGGGACACTGGAGACTTCTACAGCACTCCCTGCCCTGTGTGAGAACTAGCGCGCTCTCAGAGTTAGCCTGGCGAGCCTCTCCCTGCTGGACACAGGGTATCAGCCCCTGAAAGGCCCTGATATTTCTGCTTACCTGAGCCTCTCCTATGGCAGAAATGAGGACCCTGAGGCCCACTGAGGAGAAGTCAAGTCTTAAATCCTTCAATCACATGCTCCTGATTACCAATTCAAGACGGAGGGCATCCTCGTGAGGTGCCTGCTTCCAGGAGGCCTGTGGTTTTCTGTGTGTGAGCAAACACACTTTGTTTCAGTAGACCTTCCTCCTGCCCTCCTCCAGCCCCACCTCGCCCCCCCCGCCCCCGTCTTTACTCATGACTAACAGATGC